ACCTGGTCTTATGATTGCTTTAATAATCATCTTTACCATATCTTCGTCCACATACACGAATGCCCTCTTCATGTTGGCAATCAGTCCTAACATTTTGTGGACCTTTTCATTCATGTGGTCATTTGGATTTAGGTTTCTATTTATGATTATCCCAAGATCTTTTTCCCTGTCAGCTGTGTCTAATACTGCGTCCCCTAATTTGTATTGGAATAGTGGGCGATTTCTACTTTCTCCAAACCTGACTACGTGGCATTTATTGGTATTGAATTCCATTTCCATGTACAACTCCACGTGAATAAGTTCTCGATGTCACTTTGGAGCATTGGCATGAGACGTTGTCTGTTGCCCTCTTGTATCTTTGCGTCATCTGCAAACATATTCAGATAACTACCTGGGCTTATGTTTGACTCTAAATCATGAAAAATAGTAAACATAATTGGCCAACACCGATCCTTGAGGCACTCGCTGGTTACTCGTCGCCATGTAGAATGCTTTCCTCTAATTACTGTGCTCATTTGTCTTTCATGAAGAAAGTCTTTCATCCATGCGAGTAGGTTACCTTTCACTCCACCTAGGTGCTCTAGTTTCCATATGTAGTCTTCTATTAGACACCTTATCAAAAGCCTTCTTAATGTCTAAATACACACAATCCACCCAGCCGTCTCTTTCTTGTAATATTTCAGATACTCTATTATAAAACAGAGAATTTGTTACACACGACCTTCTTTCTCTAAAACCAAATTGTTTATTTGTATCATTTCGTATTTTTCAAGCAATTCAACCCATTGTTTTCTAATTATTCTTTCTAGCAGTTTGCATACTACACTAGTTAATGAAAAACTGGTCTATAATTTAGTGGGTTTTGTTTTGTCGCCGCTCTTATATAAGGTGTAACATTTGCGAATTTCCAACTTTTGGTAGTTTACCTTGTCTTAGTGAATTTTGAAATATTAACAATAAAGGAGTACACAGCTCTTCGACACATTCCCTAAGAACCCAGTTAGAAATTTCATCTGTTCCCTCTGCTTTGGTCTTGTCTAATCCTTTTAGCAGATCTTTTATTTCGTTCTTTTTGAGGTTGATATTTTCGATGTTCTTTACGTCTGTACGGGTATTGCCATATCAAAGCATGGATCCTGAACAAACACTGACTGAAATTTCTCATTTACGATTTCACACATTTCTTCCTCCTTAGAATATATAATGTTATTGTCTTGATAGCGCTAAGTTTGATCCTACTTTTAGTTTTACTATTTATGTAGTTAAAGAAGAGTTTTGGTTGACTTGTGCATTTGTTTATTATGTCCTTTTCAAAGTCTAATTTCGCCTCTCTCATGGTTTGGGTATACTCATTTCTTCCTACTTTATATCTTTCATATGCTGCCTGAGATCTATGCCTTCTGAATCTTTTCCAAAGGAGATGCTTTTTTTCCCTCATTTTCTGCATTTGTCGTTGAACCATTTTTGCCATTTCTTGCTTCAATTTTGAATTTGGGTATGAATTTTTCACTCCTTTTTTATAGATCTCACAAAATTTTGCATACTGAACATCAAGGTTCTCATCATCCAGAAGTGTTTCCCAGTTTATGTTATCAAAGAAATGTTTAAGGCTTCTATAATCACCTCTTTTGTAATTGTACTTTTCCTTTCTTTCTTTGCTTACGATGAGTTTTTCCTGTAGCAGACAGTATTTTAGTTTAATCACACATGGTCGCTTTTTCCTAAAGGAGGACAGTATTCGATATCCTTAATATCGTCGTTATGCTTTGTAAATATTAGGTCAAGCATAGACGGCCTATCTAGCCCTCTTATCCTGGTATGATTTGTTACATTCTGGAAAAGGCAATGCTCATTTATGACATCTAGTAATTTAGCATTCCAAGAATGTGATTGTGCTCTAGGATCGAGACTTTCCCAGTCGTTTTGCTATTAAAGTCCCCTGTAATAAGAATTTCTGTTGAATTGGTTTCCGATAGTTGTAGCACTTCTTCCAGGCTCTTTATTGTCTCTTGAATTAGTTTCTGGTAATTTTATAGTGACCACGCCGATGTTGAGGTGGCATGTATACCGTGGTTATTATTATGTTTACCCCATTTGTTTCTACCTCATTACCTTCATTTCCACTATGGGTCCTGATAAATTTTAACTCCTTTATAATAATTCCTTTCTTTGTTAATATTGTACCCCCCCTCCATTTCCATCTGCCCTATCTTTTCTCCAAATATTATAGTCTTTAAGCCCTAATGTTACATCGTCTGTGGAGGGGTCCAGTTTGGTTTCAGTGATGCATATTACATCTGGTTTATCCATATCAATTATTGTCTCTAGTTCAAGCAACTTCGAAGATAGACCATCAATATTTGTGTAAACTATTTCTATATAATCTTTAGGTATTAAATTTGGTTGCAGGGTTAATGTTTGTCTACCTCTACATTTTGGTTCCGATAGTATATTTGCTTTGCTTGGAGACCTCTCACCCTCCAAATAAATAAGTTTTTTCCTTCAGTCCTTTGTTCATTTTTGTTTTTTACTTCTTCCAATTTCTTTTGTAGTGTTACTCTGTCATCTTTGGTCATGTTTTCTCTTATCCAGATTTTTTGTATTCCTCATGGGTGGCCAGAACTTTGGCTTTCTTTATTATATCAGTTACTATTTGCTTATTCAAGAATGTTACTTTTAGAGGCCGTTTCTTTCCCTTTTAGAATAATCCTAGCCTCCTGTGAGCTATGATATTCTGCTCGGCGAATTCGGGATTTATGACCTTGAGAATATCTACAATTAATCTCTTGTCTTCGTTGTATCGTTCAATTCCATCTTCTACAACTTTTTCTTCGTGTCCCAATATTACTATGTCCTTGTTTACGTCAGCCAAATTAGCAATATTTCTTGCATGTTGCCCAAGGGGGATTTGAATTCATTCTTTCTTAATCGTTGCTGCAAGCTGTGTTTTAATTTCCTCCCTTTGTGGTCTTGATGTCTTGTTCTATCTTTTTTTCCATTTCATTCACGGTTTCCTTTACTTTTGATACATCTGCATATGTAGCTGTCATTTTCTTGGCTTCTTCCATTATTGAGCTTGGCTGTGTTGTGTGTGTGTGTGTGTGTGTGTGTGTGTGTGTGTGTGTGTGTGTGTGTGTGTGTGTGTTGTGTGTGTGTGTGTGTGTGTGTGTGTGTGTGTGAGAGAGAGAGAGAGAGAGAGAGAGAGAGAGAGAGAGAGAGAGAGAGAGAGAGAGAGAGAGAGAGAGAGAGAGAGAGAGAGAGAGAGAGAGAGAAAAAGAGAGAGAAGAGAGTGAGAATGAAGAATGCACCAACATTATTGAAAGAATATACACCAACTTCAGTAGACTTTATGTGGTCTGCAGGAAGAGAAGGAAGGAAAAGGTAATGTGAATCATAAATAAAGCAGTAATAAAATATCTCTTTACTAAACAGAGAATACAAATAACAATGGCTCCATGGATTCCAGAAGTCAAATTTATGTATAATCTATAATAGATTATGTACAGTATCCACACACAAAAAGAAAGATTGCTTGGCAATCTCTGTTATAATATATTCAAACAAAAGCAATTCATTATGAAATGGGTATCATCAATAATGAAACAAAGCCATTAATGACAAAATCATTATAAATAAACTATCAGCAGAATATCAAAATTACTGAATCATAAAGCAGCATAATTAGTAGGTACAATGAATAGAGATGACACCAAAAGTGGGAAAATGTGTAATTTCCCTTTTGTTTTCTCACCTGTGAGGTCACAATACAAGTAACCCCACTGTGCCCACAAATCATACCCACTGTGGTGGACACGCTGTGAAAATAATAATAATAATAATAAAAACATAAATTATCCCTTCCATAGGCATTTTAAACTTTGTTCCTTAACTTCAAGACTTTTGGCTTGGCAAACTGAGCAAATTTACCTAACATAGCCTTGGAAACAAGCCAAAAACATAAGCAGGTATCCATCACTATACAGAGGATGACAGTCCTTGAACATTAATTTTAAGGTGAGACCTTATACCAATAGCATTTTCACATGGCTTTATTGTTGATTTCTAGGCATTCAAAGTAAAGAAATTATTGTAAAAGAAAACCTGGTTAAGGACATTTAGAGGCAAGAATTATTAAAATAAGCATGAAATTATAATACAATTATAAAAAAAAGATAAATACATAAAAATTAATAATAGATATGATGAAACTGGGGTAAAGAAATTACTGAATGATAATTTCAACACAGCTTTCCCTTAGCCTTTTTCCCTACATTATGTCAGGTCCTATGCTTAAAGTGCAATTATCAAAGATATAACACAATCACAGGACCATGTAAAGATCACACATAAACACTGCAATATTGAGGCACAAAAAATTTCTGGAAGTGTTTGATTGTAGCCATGTCTGGGTATGTTCTCTACTTTTAAGTTATAGAGATCATATAATAGCCTAAACATCGCTTACAGATTACATAATCTATCACAAAAAAAAAAAAAAACATACATAGAATTCTGGAGGCAATAACCAGACTGAACTGCAAGGAATGCCTGTATGCCATTAAATTTTCATAAAAAATGGTTGTGTAAACAAAGTATTTAAAATATATGATGTCTAAATTACATAAATATACTTTTTATAACTGATGTGGTTATTACAACATAACCTTCATTTTATTCATTTCTGAAGCTTTTTTTCTTGAACTTCCTTAGTATACAGTATATTTTTCATGTAGTAACTAACTTTTCTCGAGGACATGCACTTTGCCCTGGGCAAGAAGGCTTTTCAAAACTTCCATTTCTGCCGTTATTGACTTCAGTACCTCAGCTTTTTCCTGCCTCATTTTTTGTAACTCTGCAATGGCCTTGTCCTCCTCAGCCTTAGATTTCTCCATTATTTCCTCAAGTTTTTTTTTTACCCTCTCTATGTTCTTCATACTCTTCTTGTTAGAAGTTTCAGTAGTAGACTCATTTTTTCTCTTCTGTCCACTTATCCTCTTGTGTACTTTGGTGATCTTCTCTTCACAGGCATTATCCTTCAAATTGATATCTCTCTCCTGTACATCACTTTGAATTACACTGCTGACACCTTTCCGACTTTCGGATTCCTTTTCATGCATTTCCTTTTCCTCAGACTGGACTCTCCCTCTTTGGTTATCATTTTCCACCAACTCTCTTAGCTCTCCTTCTTGTGCTGCATCATTGTGATTTGGTAAAATCTGTTGGTCATCATTCTCCTGAGTTTGCTGATACTCCTCTGTCTCCACTTCATCACTAACTTCTTCATCAACTACTCTTTCAGATACAACTTTATCATTTTCTGAACTGACACCTATAGAAGTGCCCATTTCTCTGCTATTCTCACTATCTGAATCTTTTGAACAATTTTCCAAAATATTATCAGTGCTCTCTTCAGGGAAAGTTGAAGAATCATCTTTCTCTGGATGACATTCTAAATCTGGATCTTCTTGACTAGTATTATCTCTAACTTCAGTTACAAACATCCCTGTTTCCCATTCAGAAGTGTTTGTATCACTTTCCCATTTCATGTCAACATTGTCATTTTGTACATGACTATTTGCCTCAGTCAACTTGGTATTATGCACTGTACTCTGTGTATCAGTGTTCCCCTTACTCTTAGGATAAGTATCTGTTGGTTCAGAGTTGCCATTGTCTTGCTTAGAGTTTACAGCATCTGGTATTCCTTTACATATTCTGACATGGTTATCCTCAACTGTCCCTTCTGATAACTTAGTATTTTCCTCCTTTACTGAGACCAGTAAGTTAGTTCCTAAATTTTTGTCTTTATCAAGTGCAATGTCATTGTTTGTGTTATCACATTGTGCATTATCTTCTTGAACTGATAACTCTTGTACTATATGTTTATCCTCTGCAACATCATCCCTATATACACCCTTCACTAATCTTGTATTTTCAACTGATGAAATTTGTACTTCTGTCTCCTCCTTCCCATCAATCTCCATATCTGTTGCCATCTTTTCTGATGGCTTTGTGTTTTTATTTGACTCTACTAGAGTCTCATTTATATCCTCTGATATCATTCTATCTTGGCTCCCATCTGATGACTCTTGAGCATTCTTCTTTTCATCCTCAACCTCATCACCTTTAGCATCATTTTTGCCTGGTTTTCCTTGTTCCCTATTCAAAAAACTTTCATCCTCCAAGTCTGTATTCTCAGTCCCTGTAGAATCATCAATATAGCCATCATTTCCACCCTTATCACTCAGTCCTAATACCTTTCCATCCTCTGCCCACACTTGATCATTCAATCCTTTTTCATGGTTATCTGAGTCTTCTTTTCCACCATTCTGCATATCACCATCCTTTACTTCATAATTCTCTTTTTTATTGTTCATCCAGTGATCACTTACATCCTTGTCTTGGCTATTCTCCCTCACAAACTGGCCTTCTTCTTGTCCTTGGGTAAATACTTGAATAGTGATCTGGTCACTTATATCCATTGAGCTGCTGGAACTATCTGAGCTGAAATGACATTTTTCAGCATCCTTTTTCTCCGCACCAGTGGGACAATCTGATTCTGACATTTTGTTACATAAACTGTTCTGCTTTCATGTGTTGCACCACTGCAACATGTGAGGAAGTTTACTACCCTGAAGACTGGAAGTCTGAAAGAAAAAAATTTGTATATTACTATGACAAATACTGAAGAAAAATAGAAAAGCAAAGCACACAGTGAGGTGCCTAAAATCATAGAGTATCAAATGCCATCAGAGCTGAAATTGAGTTAAGAAATTGCATTATAACCAAATATCAATACCTAGTGCAATAAAAACGGTAAATTATCCAACTAAAGGAAGGAATCTGTCCTTTGATGTGCATGCATGCATGCATGCATGCATGCACACACACACACACACACACACACACACACACACACACACACACACACACACACACACACACACACACACACACACACACACACACACACACACACACACACACACACACACAACACACACTTATACACAAACAACACACACAATTATACACAAACAACACACTTATACACAAACAACACACACTTATACACAAACAACACACATTATACACACAACACACTTATACACAAACAACACACACTTATACACAAACAACAACACACATTATACACAAACAACACACACATGTACAGGCACACTTATACACAAACAACACACACATTCTTATACATGCACTCAAATACACTCATACACTCTCACACTCGTGCACAAGCACACACTCATACACATTCCCACATGCACTCACACACTCATTCACACTCACACCCAAGAACGAGAAAATCTGGGACTTCAGGGACAGACAACTCAATAAAGCATAATACATTTTGAATGTAACTTAAAGTGAGATCCTACCCTTCAATTTGAAACAAAAGGCAAGTGAAAATTGTCTCACTTCCCCAAAAAAACATTACCACGCAATCAGCTTCAAGGCACATTTGATATATACATATCTTACCAAAAAAAATAAGAATAGTACTGAAAGTAAAGTAATATAACTTTACAAATGTGAATAAAATAAAGGTCTCACCTATGCCATGGATAAATAATCACTCTTCAAACTATGACAGTCTACTGTACTACAACACTTTCATCAGAACAGATTAGTTTTCTTTGAGGTTACTTGTGCTAATGTATGGTTGGATAGTTACAAACTCTAAGGACTTGGCACATGCAATTTCAACACAGTCCACTGTCTGTTTTACTTTATTTATTATGTGCATCTCTACATTTGCTATTCCCACTTGGCCTATAAAATCGTTACTATGAAACATTCTAAGAAGAAAAAACCTGATAAACCAAAACATAAAAGATCTACTAGAGTTGGGTCTGTTAACCAAATGGAAGATAATGTGTAGTATCCCCCTTTGAAGCAATTACTTTTTTATTTAGTTGTATTTTGCATTTTTATTGTTTCACTCAAATTTTAGTCTGCTAAATCTAATTTTACCTATCCAAACTTATCCTTTCTCATCCTATCCTATCCTATCCTACCTAAATCCCATCGCATCCCATCCTATCCTAATCAAACTTAACCTGACCTAACCTATACTTTAACCCAATCCAATACATTGTTCCCAGCCAAAGAAAGCTTCCTCCTCCCCTTAACAGAGGAACTTATCAGGTGAGGGGACGTGAGGGTTAACCGGTGGATGGGCAAAACGACCAAATTCTACATTTATTAAGCCATTCCCTGGTGTTGGAGACAAGTCTGCTATGAAAGTCGGGTTAAAACTACACCATAAGTGTTGGTAACTATTAGCCATTGGTAGATACATCGGTGTTTGTGACACAGATCTTAAAGTCAGATTTAACAAAATTGGACTTTAAAAATCTAACAAAACATTTTTTCATCCATTTCGAAAGATAGTCATCAAATAACAAAATTACTACTTACCGACTTCGTCTGTGATCTACTGCTCCTCTTGAACGCACCATAACACGAACGATCTGTTTTTGGAAATGATTTTCGTTCATTTGCAACACCGCTAAAGATATTAATATAGCAGTAATAACCCGCCGATAATTGGGACCAATTATGATATATGTATTTATCATTTATAATGTAAATAATTGATATGTAAAACTTATGAAGGAGGAATATGTTGCGTTCATAAGCTTTTATTTGAGATTTATAAGAACTAGAGCTTAGCAAGTACTGACAAACGTGGTTGTATTTCATCTAATCTTTTTCACAAATTCATCTTTCTTCTAATATGCGCGTTTTTTTTTCTTGAAAATGTAAAGATCTTTTGCATCTACCGGAGCCAAAATATTTAGGAAAATAATAAACAACCTAATTCAATTGTTCTAATTTTGACATTTTGATAATGTAACTGGTCATGTTTATTTGATGTCTTTTTTTCTAATCCAGATTATATATTAATTATGGATTCCATCCTCTATACAAGTGCAAGTTCATCAAATATTGCAAAGTTCCATCTAAAAAATTTAGGCCCTTGAACAACTGAGTTTGCGTTGAAGCACTGTGAACAAGTGCAGTTATCAGTCAAAGGCTACATTATTTTTTTCTCGATAATATGCAAAGAGGGCTAGTTTTGCTTATACAAAAAAAAAATAATTATAACAATAGTATTGATAAAAATAATAATAAAAAAAATTAAAGGCAGTTCGCGTTCTTTTAGTTCAGGGTTATGTAATAAATATTTCGTAAAAGTTTTATATGATTCTGTTGAATTTGCAAAATAAATTATCTTAATAGTGTATATAATTATTATGTTTCATATTAACTACCCTGAAATATACAAAATATACGTATTTTTGCCAAATATTACGAGATATGGATATAGCATAACCCGGTTTTAAAAAAAGATAGCCAATTCGCTCATAAACATTAGCTGAACCTTGGAGAACCGGTCGAGACTTTGAAGAGTGAACATCAACGTGTAAGAGTGATCAATCTTTAAAAAGTACCGAACTTAGTGAAGTGAAAGCTTATGAACGGAAACTTTGATCTTGATCCAGGTGAAGAACCTGGAAAAGACAATGAAATGATATACGAACACCAGAAAAACAGCAGAAGACGTGACAGTGATAGCGAAGATTGCCCATACACCAAACAAGCAAGAAACGAAGAAACCGGCAAACAGACCACGGAGAACCATACCTACGGAACAGTAACTCAAGGTACCCCTCAAGAAAATGTTATTCTAATACAAATAACAAACAAATCAAATACCTCAAACTTCAATCATCCAATAAGGTTAACTGAGGCCATAAATAAATCAATTTTTCAAAAATACATAATTGAAAATTCATTAAGAGTAATAGGAGATGGAAAAGCCATTAGATTCGAGGTAGTAGATATATCAAAAATTGGACCTCTCAATGAAATTAAATACCTAGGCAACTGGGAAATAAACTGTAAGCAACCTGCATCAAATAAAGATCAAGGATGCTCCTATGGAACAATATCCCCAGTAGAAACAGATATAGAAATAGAAGAAATCAAAGAAAAAACCAAGATACTATGGGGCCAGATACATACATAAAGAATATAACAAGGATTCATAAACCAAGTAAAATATCAGGAGAAAATAAATGGATTCCTACTAAATCCCTGAAAATAACATTCAGAGGTCCATTACCTAACAAATTAACAATAGGTCATATAAGTTATAAGGTATATCAATACACATTCCCAATATCCAAATGTTTAAGTGTCTAATGTATGGCCATGGGTTGATATCATGCAAAAACAAAATAAGATGTAGTAAATGCAGCCAACAAGATCACAAATATAAAGATTGCAAAAATCCACCTCATTGCTTTTTCTGTAAAGGTAACCACACAGCATACGATAAAACTTGCCCAATTCATCAAAAAGCCCAAGAAATAAACAAAAAAAACACAACACCAAATAACTTAGAAGTAAAAAAACTTTTCCATCACTTAAACCCAACAACACAAAAACAGAATCAACCAATACAAAAAAACATAATAATTACCACAGCAGAAATACACAACTCAGAAACAGATTACAAACAACAAACAGATGATAACACAAACACTATACAACAAACAAACCCAAACATAACACAAACATATGCTAAAATACTAACACAAACAAATAACATAACACCAGCACAAAAAACACCCACAAAACAAAAAAATAACACAAACAGAGCAGAAAATACTCCAACTCAATCAACAAAATCAAAACAAAAAACAGTCAAGAAAAAACAAAAGACAAAACACACACAAAGGAACAAAACATAAAAGACAAGAAACTCACAGAATCCCCCATAACATGGTCTCTACCAACACCACTAAACAAAACCCCAACAATAAAAGAAAAGAAGAAGAAAGAAGAAGAAGAAGAACAAAAACAAAGAAGAAAAACCTTCATTTGTTGAAATAACAAAAGGAATTTTCAAATTAATAACTAATATAACCGAAAAATTCAAATCAGACAAAACAATAATTGAAATAATAACAGAGATAATAACTGAAGTTGCTCCAATATTAAAACAAATATCAGTTTGGTTTAATGACTAAAACAATACTATGGAACGCTAGATCTGTAATAAACAAAAAAATAGATATAGAATATCTAATTCAAACAGAAAACCCGGAGATATTCGCAATTTGCGAAACTTGGCTTACAAATAATGACAAATTTGATATAAAAGATTATGATATCATAAGAAATGATAGAATAGAACAAAGGGGAGGCGGCTTAGCAATTTGTATAAAAAATGATATACAATACAAGAAGATTAATCTAAATGAATTACAAAATAAAAACATCGAAACATTAGCTATAAAGATTAGCTATAAAAGAGGATGGCTACACTTACTTTTAATATACAACCCATGTAACAAAGTAAATCAAAAAGATATGGAACACTACATAAACCAAATAGAAAAACCAAAACTCATAATAGGAGATTTTAATGCCCATCATCCGCTATGGAATTCAAAAAACAAACCAAAATATAACAAATATCACTGGAATAAACTTGTTTAATTTAATAAATCAAAATAACATACTGATGTTAACTCCAAAAGGACAAATTACTAGAATAGATCCGAAAACAGGTAAAGGGTCTACAATAGACCTAGTTCTGGGCACCCCAGAACTGAGTAAATTAGAAGTAGAAGCAAAAATATATGGAGGAAGCGATCACCTTCCAATCATAATAAGAGACATTAATCACAATAGAGAAACAATAGTTAAAGAGGAAAAATGGAAATTCAATGAAGAAGGATGGATAAAATTTAAAGAAGAAATACAAAAAATAGATGTGGACAATATAAAATCACTGAACGAAATAACAGAAATAATAAAAAACATAGGGATGAAACATTTCAGATTAAATAATGATAATAGTAAAAATAAACCAACAAAACCATGGTGGAATAAAAAATGTAAAGAAGTAATAAAACAAAGAAACAAATCATTCAATAAATGGAGAAAAAATCCTAATGAAAAAAACAGAATAGAATACAAAAAACTTCAAATAATAGCAAGAGATACAATAGAAAAGGAAAAAAGAACAAGTTGGTCAAATTTCTGCCACTCATTAGATTTTAGAACCCCAACCAAAAAAATATGGAATTTTATTAAGAAACTTTCAGGCAGTAATAGAATAAATAATTACCCCGCTAATAGATAATGATCAGCCAATACAAGAAACAAAAAAGAAATTAAAACTCTTAAAAGAAGAATTCCAAAGTATAATAAACACAAAAACAAAATGCTTAATAACAAAATCAGAATTTAAAAGTTTAATAGAATTGCCAAGTACGAACGGATTAAAAAAGGAGATAACATTAAAAGAATTAATTTCTGTAATAAAAAAGACAAAAATAATAAAGCTTGTGGCCCAGACAGTATCCCTTATGAATTTTATAAAAATATCCCAAATAACCTACTGGAAAAAATTTTAAACATCTATAATCAGTTGTGGATAAAAGGAGAATATCCTATAATCAGTT